ATTTGGTTCCTTCCTTGAGGTATCTCTTTATCAGAATCAGGAAAAAAATATAAATGTAAATTTAAGTTTAAGGGACGCCTTTACAACTGAGGGTAGCTCAGTTGTTGAGTGTCTGCCTTTGGCTCAGGGCATGATCCTGGAGTCCTGAGATCAAGTCCTGCATCGGGATCCCTGCATGGAGCCTGCTTCTTCCTCTGCCTATGTCTCTGCCTATCTGTGTGTCTCTCGTGAATAAATAAATAAAATCTCTAAAAAAATTAAGTTTAATAACTTTTTGCATTTTAAATATTTCTAATTATGAAATGATAGATGTCTTTATTGCCAAAGTTGTTGCAGACATCATTTTGAGGGGGATTTGAAAGAAAAGCAGAGGATTTAAAACATCCTTTCTGGCAACCTTAAAATCCCAGCCTACAACCTACCAGCTATTCTAACTTTAAGGCTAAGTCACTTAGGGTTATTTAAATTTTTTTCCAAAGCATGCTGAGAAGCAAAATAGAAGTATTTGTCTCTTCTTCTTCTTGTGCGGTGTGAAACTCATTTGCCTTGGAAAGTTTTTTTTACTCTGCAAATGTTTGCAATTTAAAAGACCATATTCTTTTTTTTTCTTTTTTAAAAATTGGGATATAATTGACATGTGATATTAAATTAGTTTCAGGCATTTAACATCCAAATAAGTCTAACTTGCAAGGCAGGCATGATCTTTGAGTGTCCCTTCAGTGTTGCCTGTCTTTTCTATTGTAGTCCTAGGCCATCTACCTTTGGCTTATTAAGCCTCAGCTTCTAACTTTTATTCTTTACATTTATCAAGCTCTCTTCTGCCTTAGGCTTTTACATATGTCCTTCCCTCTTCCTGGAAAGCTCTTCCCTCCACATTTAGCAATTCCAGTTCCTTTAGGTACCTTAGATACTAAAGTAAGTATTCTGCAGAGAGATCTCCACTAATCATTCTGTTGTTTCTTTTTTCTATCTTAATCTTTTTCTTTTCTATCTTAATCTTATCCTTTTTTTCTCAAAAAACTTAAAAAACAAACATATTATGTTGCTTCTTAGGTGTCAAATATCATTCTATTCATAACAGTCTCATTAGAAGTTATATTATTGTCCCCTCCTTAAGGAGGAGGCAACTGAGGCACACACAACTGTAAGTGGTAAAGTTGGATTTGACCCTAGCAGATTAGTGTCTGCTCTTTTTTTTTTTTTAAGATTTTATTTATTTATTTATTTGAGAGAGAGGAGAGAGCATGAGTGGAGTGAGAGGTAGACGGAGAAGCAAACTCCCCGCTAAGTGGGGAGCCTGATGCAGGGCTGGATCCTGGAACTCAGGGATCATGACCTGAGCTGAAGGCATATGCTTACCTGACTGAGCCACTCAGGCACCCCAGCTTCTGCTCTTAACCACTATGCTGTATCCTGCTTATCAGTGTCACAATCTGGAATTTTTGTAATAATTTACCTGTTTCTGTTGTTGTCATTTTTTTTTTTAAGATTGTATGTATTTATTTTTTTAGCTAGAGAGAAGGTGTGAGCAGGGAGAGGAATAGAGGGGAAGGGAGAGGGAAAGGGAGGGAGGAGGAAAGAATCTCAAGCCAACTGTGGGCTTGATCTCATGACTCTGAGCTGAAACCAAGAGTTGGTTACTTAACCAACTGAGCCACCCAGGCAATCCCTGTTGTCTGTTTTTGGTCTGTTTTGTCTCATGTTTGTTTGTCCCTCCCAGAGCATAAACTCCATGAGGTCAGGGACCAATGACGTCTTACTGGTCATTGATTTTACAATGCCTACTATTGTTCCTAAGACATAAGGGGTACTTAATTAGCATCTGTTTAAGGAATGAATGAATGAATGAAAGCAAGAGAAAGCAATATTCATGCAAAGTTGGTGAGAGGTTGGTTTGAGGTACTAAGTCACACAATATAATTTTTCCTAAATATTTGTGTTTTTAAACAATATTTATTTATTTAAATGATCTCTACACCCATTGTGGGCCTCGAACTTATGATCTGGAGATCAAGAGTCACACACTTTTCTGATGAGCCAGGCAGGCACCCCTAATTTTTCCTAAATATTTATATGTAAGAAAGTTTCCTAAATAATTGGAGGCTGCTAATTTAAAGAAATACACTTCCAGGAATAGTTTAAGAAATTCTTTTCTAGGGCAGCCTGGGTGGCTCAGCGGTTTAGCGCCACCTTCAGCCCAGGGTGTGGTCCTGGAGACCTGGGATCGAGTCCCATGTATGGAGCATGCTTCTCCCTCTGCTGGTGTCCCTGCCTCTGTCTGTTTCTCATGAATTAAAAAAAAAAAAATCTAAAAACAAAAAATTCTTTTCTAGATATTTGTCAGTGATATATCCGTATCTATGTCTGTATCTATATATACATGATATGTATGACATATATATATATATGAAGAAAGAGAAATGTAAATAATGTAAATGTGTAGTACTGGAGGAGTGTGGTATGTAAGGGAATAAGCTGATTTTCTTCAAGTTAAATACCAACATATATAGGATCAAAGTTGTAATAAATAAAATCTTATAATATTAAATGTTATCTGAAGTCAGATTGAATACATTAACAAATGTGGATCAATCAGAAAAATGGGGCAGGACAGAGCATAGGGGATGGGTGACAATGGAAATTGAGGAGAAGGAAAAGTCCCAGAGGCAAACTTCATTCTTAATTCTATCTAAAGGAAAGGGAGTAGTAGGCAATGTACTCCAAGTGTTGTGATGAGTCCTTCGGAAGGGCTCTGCTTACACTTTGCAGAGTGAGGAAAGGCCAGGGACATACTGGGAAGAAGGCAGTTTAGCTACCCACAATTACAGCCTTCATCTCTCCTCTCAGCAGTTCATGATCATTCATCATTGTGATAGAGGATGGGCGCTACAGGAGCACACAGGCAGAGCTTCTCCACTGGAGTGTGACATCAAGGCAGTGTATGAGGAATGATGTGGTCATTATCACCCCTGCTTCTCTGCCAGGTTGGAATTCATGGTTAGTAGTGTTTTCTCCATTAATTAATTAACTAATTATTTATTTTATGGATCAGATAATCACAAGAGAATATTCTGTTGTAATTGTCAGCATCTGGAAGGAATCTTTTCGTCTGTTTCAGAGGCAGTGAAAATCACATCCAGACTGCCTACTAGTCAAGGCTTTGTTAGAGCATTGTTGTTTGTTTGCTCTTCCTCCCACACCATCAGCAACATCTTTTTTCTTTCCCACGTACAAAATGAAGGGGAGAGTTGAGTCGTGCTTTTTTTTTTTTTTTAAGATTTTATTTATTTATTCATGAGAGACACAGAGAGGGAGGCAGAGACACAGGCAGAGGGAGAAGCAGGCTCCCTGCAGGGAGCCCCATGGGGGACTTGGGGATCATGCTCCAGCGGAAGGCAGACGCTGAGCCGCTGAGCCACCCAGGCGCCCCGGGGCCTGCTAAATCAGAAAGCTTGTGTGTGTGTGTGTGTGTGTGTGTGTGTGTGTTAAACACCTCCTAGCCACAGAGAAGCAGCTCTCTAATAAGTGGCACCCAATAGAAGAGAAGCAAGGAACTGGTGAGCCTTTTGGTCTATGGGTCCCAGAGGCTCCCTTCCATTTCCAAAAATCGCCCCTTTGCTGCTCCTATTGCTCCCTTTCCTCCAGGTTCTCTATCCTCATCTCTTCTCCATTTTTGGTCTTTCACCCTGACTTCGCCTTTGCCTCCTCCAGTTGACTCTTCCAATTGATCAAAGCGGTCATTTTACAAGCATATAATATTTAGTTGCTGGGTTTGTATTATTCATGAGTGGCGAGGCCAACAGAATGATCCAGTTTGGGGCTCTGGAGTTAGGATTAAATTTTGGCTTCACCAAGTCTGGCTTCACTCAAACTTCCCTGTGCTTCTTTCACCACTTTTCAATCGGGGATCACGCTTCCTACCTCCAAGAGGTGTCCTTAGGGCGGGACAGCATGCACTTAGGACACTCAGAAGAATGCCTGGCACGTGGTCTCGGGAACTATTAGCTCTTACTTTAGGGTCTCTCTGATACCATATATGGGGAATTTCATATAGTTTTCCCTCGTTGAAGAATGTGTAGAGTGGAACTCCTGAGGCAAGAAGCAAGGTATCTAGAGGCTTCCCGGGTGCATGTATTTTTCTGGGCAGACCCAGTCTTGTGGCAAGCTGGGCACCCAACGCTCGCGCCAGGGCACTGTAGCCAAGACTCTCCCGCGGGGTAATAGGGTGACTCGGCGGCCGAGCGAGGTGGGCCGGGCCAGGCGGGCCAGGCGGGGGTGGGAGCGCGCGCTCGGGGCGCAGCCGGCGGCGCCCGAGGCCGGGAAGGAGGCTGCGGGCCCCGAGCGCGTTAGCTACGGTGCGCTTTTCTTTGGGAAAGGCGCCGATCCCGGCAGTTCCCGGCGCAGCGGCCGAGCAGGGGCGTCCCCGCCGCTCCCGGTGGGGGTGGGGGGTGGGGGGGCTGGGACGTCCGCGGGGCAAAGCCAGGGAGGACCTCCCGCCGCGGCCGAGCGGACCAGGGCGCAGGTCCCCCCCCCGCGCGCCCCCGCCCCCGGCCCGCGCCCCCCCCGGTGCAGCTCCCCGCGGCGGCGGCCCCGCGCGCTCGGGGGTGGGGGGGTGGGGAGCTGGGACGTCCGCGGGGCAAAGCCGGGGGAGGACCTCCCGCCGCGGCCGAGCGGACCAGGGCGCAGGCCCCCCGCCCCCGCGCGCCCCCGCCCCCGGCCCGCGCGCCCCCCGGTGCAGCTCCCGGCGGCGGCGGCCCCGCGCGCTCGGGGGTGGGGGGGATGTGGGGGCTGGGACGTCGGCGGGGCAAAGCCCGGGGAAGACCTCCCGCCGCGGCCGAGCGGACCAGGGCGCAGGCCCCCCGCCCCCGCGCGCGCTCCCGCCCCCGCCCCCGGCCCGCGCGCCCCCCGGTGCAGCTCCCGGCGGCGGCGGCCCCGCGCGCCCGGCGGGAGGCGCCTCGGGATGCTCCGGTCGGTTCCTTCCCTCCCCCCGCGCTGACTCCCTCCGCCTCCCCGCCCCCTGCGCGGAGCCGGGGGCCGGGCGCGGAGGGAGGGAGCGGGCCCGAGACTGCATCATTCCGCACCGGCTGCAGCGCGGCCAGAGGCAGCAGGTGGAGCGAGCGAGCGGGCGGGACGCGAGCCGGAGCGCGCCGGGCCCCGGGGACACTGCAGTGACGCTGCCCGGGAGACATGGCGGCCGGGCGCCTCTGAATAAGCAGAATCGGAGCCCCTCGTCGTCCCGCGGCCGCCGCAGCCCGGGCCATGCCGCACGGCCGCTGAGCGCACGCAGGGCCCGGCCCAGAGGACGCTGCCGCCTCGCCCCTCACCCTGCCCGCGCGCGCGTTCTCCGTGTTGCATTTCCCCCCGGTGTGTCGGGCCGTGTAGCCGCTGCGGCCGGAGCAGCAGTCGGGGCATCGCTGTGCTCACCCAGCCAGCCACACTCTTCCATTTTTGCCCTTCCCTCCCCCCCTCCGTCACCCTCCCCCCTCCTCCCTCCCTCCCTCCCTCCCTTCCCCCGCCCCCCGCCGGCTTTGCCTCCAGCGCCGCGTCCCGACGCCCCCTCCCGTCTCCATCCGCCGGGGCTATGGCCGCGGAAGAGGTGCTGCAGACCGTGGACCATTACAAGACTGAGATAGAGAGGCTGACCAGGGAGCTCACGGAGACGACCCACGAGAAGATCCAGGCTGCCGAGTACGGGCTGGTGGTCCTGGAGGAGAAGCTGACCCTCAAGCAGCAGTATGACGAGCTGGAGGCTGAGTACGACAGCCTCAAGCAGGAGCTGGAGCAGCTCAAGGAGGTGAGTTGCCCGGCCCCGGCCCCTCGTCCCCCCCCAACCCCCCGCCCCGGCCCCCGGCCCCTCGTCCCCCCACCCCACCCCCACCCCCAGCGCCCACTCATCATCTGTAAAGAAGTCGCAAAGGATGCGATCCAAAGGCTTGTTTCTTCATGTTAGAGTCCTTTGTTGATAAGAGAAGATTGAAAGAGTCCATTGTGTTCTCCCCCCCCCCACACACCCCCCAAGAGAAAAACTGCCCAGGAAATGAATGTATAAGCTGCATTTGAGAGGCAGTGGCGGTTGAGGCCGTGGGGGAGGGAGGTGCAGGAGTCTTCAAGTCTCGGCACTTTAAGGCGACGTTTAGCTGGGTTGGAATGTGTAGATCCAACTTCTTCCAAACTGCTGTTATTTCAAACCCAGGGGCCAGCGACAATCCCATAATCCACACAGGTGATGAGTGGGTTTGTGCTGAGGGACCTACAATTTCAGGATGTAGGATCTGTGGCACCTCAGCCCTCTGAAGGCGACCACCCCTCGACGCGAGGGGGGACTGTTATTAGAAGAACTCTCCGCCAATCCCATTTGACAAAGTCTGGGCCATCTCCTCCGTTCTCTTTGGCTTTAGTTATTCTTGTCATCTGGCTGCCTGGGAAAAACAACTCTGCTGGGTGATCCCGCTGCCTTGATTTTACCCTGGAGTGAGGCAGAGCCGTGCCCAAGTCATCTAAGGTCACCCTGACCAGGGAAAATTGAACTCCCCTACAAACGATCTGAATGGGTTATATCAAGTGCATGGATCGCCATCCATATCAAATGAGGCTCTTCTGCTCGCAACGACTGTATTTATAAAACCAGAATATCACAAATGGGCCATGCGTAACACTTGTCCTCTTTAGTCTTTAGGTATTTGGCTTCTCTTAAAGACTGGGTAATGTTTTGGAAGAAAATAATGGATATGCTTTGATTTCCTATCAAGTACTCCTAAGAATATACATACTGTTGAAGGAACTCAGTCTGTTTTACCTGATTCCTGAAGCACTATGGGTAACAAGTCACCGGCTATAAATTTATTTGTACACACTGCTTTTCTTTGTGGCAAGTCTTTCTTTTTAGGAAAGGCTATTGACTTGTAAGTGTTGATTCTAAATTTGGTATATATTATTATCAAAAATGTTTTTCTTAGTTTTTTTTGGGAGGGTGTCTGTTTTTATGTTGCTACAGTTAAAAAAAAAAACGTTTTATGACCTATCTAATCAACTTGCCTTCTAATCTAGTACACAATATGGTAAATACTTCCACTTTTAAGTATGTTTTCTTTTTATTCTGAGGGGCTGAATGCCAACAAATAAACATATGGTAAAAAAAAAAACCCAACTAAAAATCTGATTTTCATGTATCAGGATGTAAATTTTGAGTTCATGTTTTTCTTACCATGTACATGTCTGTTCTTAACAACAGCTGGACCTACTGGTATTTTCCAACTTAGATTAGGTCTGATAGGTTTAAATTCAGTGATGCTAAAGCTTGTGAAGTCAGGAAACAGAATAGTGATTATAATTCTCAGAGAGGTTTTGATGTTTAAACCTATCAACACTGCTTTGCCAAGGTGCGGAAGTGCAAACCAGGCAGTGGTAAGCCATCACCTCCTTGATAAAGGAGGTAGATTTAATTTAATGAAATGGAGTGTTAACTGTTAACTGACCTTCCTGCTTGATTTAAACAACCATTCTAGGGGTATTTCTGTGTCATTTGCACTTACTCTACATAGTAAACCATAATGGAATTGTCTTTTGCCTTGACTAGACCATGAGCTTTTAAGGAAAGGAATCTATCTTAATTTACTTTGCATCCAAAGCCTTTAACACAAAGCTTATCACATAGTAAGTGTATAATAAATATTTTATTAAAGAGTACATTTATATTGGAAGAAAGAACACCTTTATCAAACATTCACTAGTCAATCTTGGTTAGTGTCAGAGAAAGAATAAGAAAATTAGGAAGTATAGGAAGTGACTGGTACTGAAACACTACCTATTGGAACACTACCTGTCATCAACAATAATGGGAAGGATGAGAAAAAATGTTTTGTGAGAAGAGTACAACTGTAGTTTCTTAATACAGAATAATGCAAAGAGCAGTTATACATTTTTTTCTTTAAAGATTTGAGACATATTTTGTTCTATAGGAGGTTAATAAAAAATTTATCAGGATTATTTTTACCAGATGATACTCATTTACATATGTATTTTGAGTTGCACTTAGCATAAATTAGTTCAGTTTTTTATTCCAAATGAACTGTGCTAAGCAATTACATGATAAGATATTTAAGAGTAATAAAATAATGATTATATTTGTTTGATAGCGTGACCTGTTATTTTTATTTTTTAAGCATAATGTATACTTTAGTTGGGAGTATTATTTAAATGCACTAAATCGGTCTCCGTAATATTTCCTGTTTGAAAAGTGAATCCAGAATAATTGTGCAAGCTAAGATATCCCAATGATGATATCATATAGAAGCCATTTTTGAGAGATGTTTTGTGAGTGTTCTGATTTTTAAAAAGGAAGTTTTGTTCATTTGCAGGTACATATAGTAAACAATTTTGCATTTTATGTATAACGTCAAGTATAATATCTCTGGCTTATTTCTAGGCTCTTTTAACAAATATGATTCATTTATTCATTTAAAAGTCATTGGTCCAGTTTATGAGGACATCAACAGAAAATGACTGTACTAACTCCAAGTTGAACATTGGTAATTTGCAAGATAGCTACGTGGCTCAGTCTTTACAGGTCATTTTTTTTTTTTCAAGAGTCAGCACCCAGCAATGTTGCTGCCCTCCTTCCCGGGCTGATTACTGCTATGACAATAATGCAAGTGAGCGGTGTTGGCCTGAAGATATGCAAAATCAAGATGATGAACTCAACTCATTAATTTTTTTCTAGTTTTTTTCTTCCCTAAGTCTAGATTGTTTTTTTTGACCTGACCTGACATCCTTTAGGGCTGTGCCTTCTGCCTGTATTACTATCTACATGACCCAAAAGAACACACTTGAAAGAAAAGTACTCACGATATGAAAAAGGAATGACTTCTGCCATCATCATAATGTTCTCCTTTTAATAGTCTTTGAGGAGCTAGACAAAGCAACTTGTCTCTTAGAATACTTGGCCATGGTTTTATGATTTCACAAGTAATGCTTGCTTTTCAGTGACCTGAGGGCACCCATGCCCAGTGTTGCTCAGGTCCTGGCTGATTGTATGCTTGGGATGTGTGTAAATCAGCACTGTGAATTTTATTCAGGCTAAAATAGTGGAAGAGTCATAGTTCTAAAAAAATTTTTAAACTAAAAATATACATACATTAAAAAAAAACCTCCTAGAATTTAAATTTGTTTGTGTTTTTTTTTTTACTTAAAAATGTATTTGAAATTTAAAAAATAGTAAAGTGGAAAAAGATCCCCTTAGAAAGGAATGATTCAGCATTCTTTGTAGCATTTTAGAAAACATATCCATGTGACAACTTTAGAAAAGTTTTGCAGCTAGGTTACGGTAGACTATGTAGGAAGAATCTTCAACTCCTTTTTTTTTTTTGCTCATTCTTACCCCTGACACCAAGGATAGACACCATTTGTTAAAGAAGCACTTTGTGGACAGTGAGCAGCTTTTCTTCCTGGAGCCAATTTTATGTTTTTTTCAGAGCACTGGTTAAATCATTCAAGGAATAAGCATTGAACATAGTACTTTTTAGAGACTGTCACATTAGGACCTGATGAAAGCCATTTAATTATTTGGATTCATCTTTAAACAGAAATTTCTTTATATGCTTGGAGAGATTGTTACCTTTGTATATGCTAAATTATGAAATCATAGTTGGGGGGAAGGGAGCCCTCAAATTTCATTTCCAATTTATGAATGAACATAGAGAATGTTAATTACTTACTTACCTAAGTATTTCCTCTCTCACTGTTTTGAAAGAGACATGTTTATATTTATCATTATATTTATTATCAAATTAATTAAAACATCTAAAATATATCAATATGCGCTTTTGGAAAGTATTTACAAACAACCTCAACAAAAAACACAATCACTTTCAATCATGTTTCTCTCTCTCCTTTTTTTTGATCCAGCTGTTCTAACCTGCACCATTTCTTCTTTTTATTTCAACTTAAAATTTCATCTCTGGCAAAATTATTTCTCAGATATTATTTAACAAGATGGCATATCTTACATCACACTCATTATGTTTGCATGAACATGTATGGTAACCATGGTTTGATTATTTTTTCAGATTTTCATGCCTATGAGTATTCTGCTCTATCGTCCCCTTCAGTACACTTATGCTGTATGGATATTGCATTCCAAGTTCAAAAATATGATAATCACTTGCATGTTGAAATATATAGTAAAAGACTTGCTCACACATAATGTTGTACCTGTAAATATGGCCTTGAAGGAGAGGAAGGCATGAAGAGATGCAGTCTTACTATTAAATCATTCATTATGTTAAAGAAGAATGTGAAGTCAAGTGTCAGGAGATGTTACTGGGAAGGTGGCAGTAGCTACCTTTTGCCTTGGGGATGGAGAACCATTGAAAGGAAACAAAAAGAATTTCTTAGTAACTGTGTTTGGTGCCTTACATCTTATTTAATCTTCAGAGTGATTCAGAGACTCTGCTTATTTTTACAGATAAAAAATAATAAGAGTAATAAAGCATTTAATTCTGTAGAAAGCCCTACTTAGGACTAGGCATTTTGCATACCTTATCTCTAATTCTTTAAGAATCCTTTTTATAAGGTAGATATTACTTGAATTATGCAGAAAAGAAAAATAGGTCTTAGGTTAAGGATTCTTCTCAAAGCTGCAAAGTGAAGTAGTGGAACCTGGTTTAGGAAGAAGCCCATTTTCTTTTTCACTGTACCATACTACCAGAGAGGATGAAATACCTCAGTCACATGTATGGTTTAGAAGTTCCAGTGTTGGGTATAGAGAGTGGATTGGAGCTGTGCAGGGGCAGTAGG